CACTGTGTGCACCAGCAGAGTTTTGCTGACATCTAATGGGGAAAATTTGGTACTGCGCCCAAACAAAATCTTACTGAAAGCTCATTTTTTGAGATATCAACCTCAAATTTGGAATACAACTTGTTTAGATTTATGGCTTTGATTTTCAACATGAGTTCAACATGTTTCATAAAATATATATTTTATATAAAACATCGTTCATAAATCATTTTCATAAACCTAAACATCTAGAACTTTTTTTTTGGTTTCAAAAATGGACATTTTTGTCCACTATGGACCTATGTGTAACTTTTTTTAAATGACGCACAAGGGTTAATGGGCCAGATTTAAAGTATATGAACTGTAACTCTGTGTATGACAGGCACTCCTATTGTGGGTAAATCAGTTTTCTATGGAGATCACCTGCTTATGATGTTCTATTTGAGTTTAAAATTAATCAGTTCACTGCCTATGTAGACAGAAGACAGAAAGGCAGCTCCCAAGGTTTTGGAACAGAGCTATATTGTCTAAAGTGTGTGAGATAGCATGTGAAGCTCTGAGAGAGATAAACAAATATTCTCTTTGTAGTCTCACTAGAGCCCTCTGGTGTTGACTCACATTGAGGTGCTCAGTGGTGACCTTCATCAGTTCACTGCAGGAGGGATGTAGTCTCTCATATATGATAGTGTCTGCTCCTTTACAGTACAGCGAGAGCTTGCCCTCTGGATTACGAACTGAAAGAAAGACCACAAATTTAACGCACAATTTTAAAATACACACTATATGACTAGAGCCATGGAGCCTTTTTAAAGCAACAGTTTACCTAAAAAGACATTTTGCTTTAAATTTACTCACCACCAGGCCATCCGAGATATAGATTAGTTTGTTTCTTCATCTGAGCAGATTAGAAGAAATTTAGCTTTACAGTGCTTGCTCACCAATCGGTCCTCTGCAGTGAATGGGTGCCGTCAGAATTCAATTTAAAACAGCTGATAAAAATATCGCTATAATCCACAAGTAATCCACATGACTCCAATGCCACGTGTCAAAAAGATGCTTATGTGTAAAAAACAAAAACAAATCCTTCATACATTTTTTTTTTAAACTTTAAACCATCACTTCTGGTCAAATAAATCAGTCCATAATCTGTAATAACAATTCCTCTAGTGAAAAAGTCAATCCCCCATTGTCTTCTCACATCAAACCCCACCGATATATTTGTTTAGAATATATTTGTATATTCTCCTTTACAGTACAGCGAGAGCTTGCCCTCTGGATTACGAACTGAAAGAAAGACCACAAATTTAACGCACAATTTTAAAATACACACTATATGAGTAGAGCCATGGAGCCTTCTTAAAGCAACAGTTTACCTAAAAAGACATTTTGCTTTAAATTTACTCACCACCAGGCCATCCGAGATGTAGATTAGTTTGTTTCTTCATCTGAGCAGATTAGAAGAAATTTAGCTTTACAGTGCTTGCTCACCAATCGGTCCTCTGCAGTGAATGGGTGCCGTCAGAATTCAATTTAAAACAGCTGATAAAAATATCGCTATAATCCACAAGTAATCCACATGACTCCAATGCCACGTGTCATAAAAAGATGCATATGTGTAAAAAACAAAAACAAATCCTTCATAAATTTTTTTTTTTACTTTAAACCATCACTTCTGGTCAAATAAATCAGTCCATAATCTGTAATAACAATTCCTCTAGTGAAAAATTCAATCCCCCATTGTCTTCTCACATCAAACCCCACCGATATATTTGTTTAGAATATATTTGTATATTTATATATATATATTTGTTCCACTTGTAAACAGTGCTTGATCTGTGTATATTTCTCTCCTGATGAATTTTGGGTCCGCAAGCCGGTTAAAGGAGAAATCCACTGGTGTCATTTCCTATTACCAAACGCAAACTCATTAACCCAGCAGACTCATTAAAATCCCTTGCCATTGTTTGAGACTTTGTTTCTCACCTCTGTGATCTCCAGCCTCTGTCCACTATAGTGGTCAATAACATCTCCTGTAGAGCAGAGAAAACACACTTTAAAGTTCAAACAGTATCTGGCTGTTTGATCGCTCCAGGGGAGTTTTATGTCTTGGCAATCTTTTGAAATAATATAGGCCTATAAATATAATAAACAACTGATGCATGTGGAATTGGTTCTGACCATAAGATTTCCCATTAATGGAGCATTTGTTGAAGGTCATGATGTTCTGGGTGAGCGTGCCGGTTTTGTCTGAGAAGATGTATTTGATCTGACCGAGCTCTTCATTGAGCGTTGTGGTTCGAGCCTCAGCTGGCGTGTCAGTTCGTGCATGATACATGTTCCTGTCCCAGTTGATGTAGTAACTGTTGCCTAACCGAATTACTTCCATACTGCAATATAAAAACAGAGAATGAAAATAACATTATTTTCTTAAATTAGTGCAGAAGTTTTTGCATTATCAGCATAACAATTTTAGTCAAACATTACAGCAGCATTACAGCCAAAAGGACAAAAGATACCTAGAAATTATGCAGAATATTTCTTCATTTTACAAGTTCTACAGTCCTAACACAAGTCCTAAAACTCTGCTTGCCTCCAGGTTTAAATGTAAAAAAAAAAAAGTGGTCTCAGACATTTTTTCTCAACAGTTTGAATTAATGTTACTTTTCACAGAAAACAAACATATGCAGTGCATGAACACACTCTACCTGACATATAACGAGATGGGCACCACAGTGTTGAGGATTATAATGTAAGACCAGAAAGTGAGGAACGCTGAAAACCCAGTGTTCTCTTCCCGTGGAAGAAAGGCATTGAACTTTGACCCTGCATGGTTTTCCCAAATCCCATTCCCCACAGCCAGAATAATACACATCAGAGCCAGAAGCCCAAAAATCTACAAAGAGATCAAACAGAGTTACCAACCATCTGCTTACATACTAACCAATTACATTAAATATCATATGAACAAATATAGTCTTCTGTTAATATATTCACTTTTCTGTTCATTTTTTATAGTTTATTCACACTACTGTTCCAAAGATTATGGTCGTTAGATTTTTTTGAAAGAGGTCTCCTATGCTCACTATAAGGCTGCATTTATTTAGTCAGTAATACTGTGAAATATTATTACAATTTAAAAAGACCCGTTTCGATTTTAATGTAAATTATTTCGAATTTAATTTATAAAACTGAATTTTCAGCATCATTACTCCAGTCTTCAGTGTCACATGATCCTTTAGAAATCATTCTAATATGCTGATTTAACAGAAACATTTCTCATTATCACAGTTAAAACAGTTGTGCTGCTTAATATTTTTTTGTGGAAAATTTTACATTTAAAATTTTTTTTTTTTAAGAGTAAAAGTGTTTAGTCACTTTTGTTTAATTTAATGCATCCTTGCTAAATAAAAATTATTAGTAGGTCACATATACTGTATAAAGGTGGAGCTTATCTTGAGGTAAAATAACTATAGATTAGACATTTAACTTACAAAGAGCACCAGTACATTCATGAGTCGATCGATACTTGTCCTCTTAAAGGTGCTTTTCCCACAGTTCTGCATCAATTTAGTCTCTGGGCCTGAAGACATAACATATATATGAATCACGATACTTTTCCTTCAGGACAACAAACCACTAATGATTTCAATCATAAACCCAGAATATTATTTATTTAAAGGGGTCATATGATGCGATTTAAATTTTTCCTTTCTCTTTGAAGTGATACAAGCTCTTGGTGCATAAAGAAGATCTGTAAAGTTACAAAGATTAAAGTCTCAAATCCAAAGAGATATTCTTTATAGAAGAGTCAACCACACCTACCTAAAACGCCTCGTTCTAACACGCCCCCAAATGTCTACGTTACAATGTGGGAAGATTGCATAACGCCACCCCAAATGGAAAGGCGGGGCATAGAGGAGCAACAATAATGTACAGTATGTGGAAAAGAATGTGTTTTTTGAACCTTAAACCGCATAAACACATTTCGTTACACCAAATACACAAAATAATGTTCTTTTTTGCAACATCATATGACCCCTTTAAAAGTCCGTTTTTATCTAGTCTATTTAGTCTATGGGCTGGCAAACCATTTTACACCCTCAAAAGCATACACCACACACATTCTCTGCAGTAATAAAGAGGAATTGAACTGGGACACCAGACAGCTCCAGAGCACACACCACACATCTGCCTGAATTTATTACCTGCAAACAACACCAGGCCAAAACACCAGTCTGTATTTCTGAGTGTGCAGCCCCTAAGCAGGACTCGCTCGTTGTCCAGAGAGTATTTCTGTGTGCCGAATGTCAGCGTGCCCATAAAGCGATCCAGACGGTTGTTAGGAGGCTCACAGTACACCTCCCCTGAAGAAAGCACAGAGAAGACCAGAGGAAAATGTTATTGCTCAGAAGTTGAGAAGATTTGGGAGTTCTCAGTTACATTTCATTCATATTAACTTTTTTTGTGTGTGAATGGCATAGCTCAGATAATTTGGTTTTGGGAAAAAATTATACGTTTGCATTTATTTTAGCAGATTTTAATATCTTCTGAGCACAAAATGAGACTATTTTGTTCTCTTTTGAAACTCTACAGGAGACATGTAAGCTGGGGTTTTACTTGGGAGAAAACAAAAGTTTTATCTTGTTGTCTAGTAAAAAAAAGTTGAGATTCCTATCGGAGAACACAGCAAACAAAAAGTTGTACTATTTTCCATATTTGTAAAAGCCAAAAAAAGTGTGTTGCTGACTCCAATTCATTTCCTAAATTATTAACTAGTAAAGACTTCTTATGAGATTAATATCTGTATGAAGGAGAGATTCTGGAAGAGAGATCAGAGTAGGCAGGGTCAGTAATTGTTTATATTTGGCCTTTGGCTCTCTATGAATGGAAGGAGTATGATCATGGAGTAACCCAGACAAATGACAAAATCTCACAAAACTCACACTCACATCTCTGATGTGTGTCCCTCATCATTTGTATAGGATACGATTTCAATTTTATTCTTTAAAATAAGGCACCTTCACACAACCAAATTAAGGTTGGTCTGTGCCTTCTCAAAATTCAGTGTAAAGATGCAAAGCTGCATACTGAAAATGCCAGACTAAACTATGTCTGCTCTGACTCTCTTCAGCTCCTAGTATCAAAATATATAGTTGTAATTGCATTTATGCATCTCTGAGCAGCATTAAACAGTCTGTACTTTTTTAATACTTCATCTTGTAACTAACCATCTACCCCTTTGGTTACCAACATTCTGTAATCTTCTTTTGTGCTCAACAGAAACTCTTATAGGTTTGGAATAACTTGAGGGTAAGTAAATGATGACAACATTTTTATTTTTGGTGAACTATCCCTTCAACTAGAGCAAGGAATTCTCTCTCTCTCTCTCTTTCTCCTCACCATTGAATGCAGCCAAAGCCTCTAAATAGTCTCCCATGTCTCCTGTTACAGTCAGAGCCTGTTTAACCTTCAGGTTGGTTTCTCTGTGTGACAAAAAGCGACAAAGAAAACATAAACATGAAATCAGGCATTCAGTATTCCATATTAAAAAATATATATATTCACATGAGATATTTCAGCTTCATTAAAACAACACAAAGGTATTTGATATAGCTGCACATACATAAAAACAACAATGCCTCTTTTCTGTTTCTTGTACTTACCCATCCAGCTCCGCAGTTTCAATGTACACTATGTTGAGAGGTTCACTGCTGGACAACAGGAGCAAATCGGCCTGCGAGGATGATACAGAGAGACAAGGTGATGTTAATTTAATATCAATTTACATCTGATCCTAAATCATTAAGTAAAGATATACATTACATTTAATGTAATCTAAATCTGTAAAATGTATTACTGTGACAAACTGGTTGTTCTCCAACTTTATGATGTCTCCCACTTGCACATTCATCCATTTCTCGCTTATCAGTCTATTTTGAAAGAAAGAGAACAAATGATGTCTAACGCATAAACAACATCATTCTGATTTCAACAAGTTGCAACACTCAGGGTGTGTGGGTCATGTGTTTCCATTTAACTCAACATAAATTATGAAAGCACATTCTTTGATGAGGGACCACCAAGAAAATTATTTCAAAAATAGAAATCTGAGGCATCAATCAAGCAGCCATTCATTTTGTGTGTAATCTAGAGAACATCATGAGAACAGGTCAGAACAACAGGAAGAACCTTTCGATGTGTCTACAGCTGTGTCCTGTTGTGACTGATGTGTTTGTTTTGTAGTTAGTTAAAAATTCAAAGCATTCCAGGTTAACAGTATGAGGAGAAGAACACTCACTAAATCCCACCTTTCAGTTAAATGGGCCAAAGTTTTGGGCTCTAGAAAGTGCATGCACATTAGCTGAACAAAATATGGAAAAAATGCACCTGGTTTGAGCTACAGTATAGAGGCAAAATTTATGAAACCATTGATAGTATTAGTGATATGATAAATATTACTGAGACACTCAGGTCATGATCATATACCAAAACTAAAGTTGTATAAACAATATAAAAAAAAAACATCTTGACGGCAAACTGTTGAACCCACAATAGCTCTGACTGCATTTGGTGTCATGTGAAATTCATGTTTGAAAAAAGTGTGTAGGTAACAAGACTGACAAACAAAATTTGACAGCCACTCACTTTCCATTGATGAGCACATTCACTTTACGGTTATTCACCTGCCTGTCACTTCTGTGGCGATTCTGTCGGAGGAAAAAAGAAAAAGAAAAAAAAAATCATGTAGGAAATTAAATAAATAGCAAAAAGAAAAATGTAATAGAAGCTCTCATGGGATAAATAAATTTTTGAAGACAGAAGAGAATGCCAAGACCTTCTGCATCCAGAAACCAGCTCATCCCAGTTTTTGAAGGCTAGAGAGAGAGGAGAGGAGGGGCGAGGAGTGCGATTCCCTAATTCCCCTCCACTCCCCTCAGCAGGAACATAAGGACTATTGTATTCCTGCTGAGGGTGAGGTGGCTCCTGCTAACTGTATCAAATTTTCCAGTCCACCGCTGACAAATTTTAGATCCGTAACCTTTCGCGTTACGATTTTCTGCTGCTCAGAGGAAAGTTTGCTTGATGACGCCTGTGTGCCAAAGTAAAGGGCATTTAAATTCGACGTGTACTGAGTATTGTAGTAAAAGCTGCCAGTGACAATTATTTGAGAACTATGTCAGAAAAGAGAAAAAGTAAATAATTATTCTAATTTTGTACATTTCTTCATAAAAAGCCATCATATAACTATTTTCATTGGCCTTTTTTGGTGCTTTTTTATCCTTTTTGAGGTCTGAATGCCCCATGTCATTGTATTCTTTCAATGTATGGAGAAAAAACAAAAAAAACAAAGGTATTATCATTTATCATCATATTGAGTTAATTATAGAAACCACATGTGTGTGTGTGTGTGTTTAAGAATGTGTGTTTTAAACATACAGCACACATGCTAGAGCACCTCTGGAAGGGCTGTTTTCCACTGCGGCCACAGCTTGGTTATGCTATCCACATCACTGGAAAAAAACTAGTCATTATGAAAACCTAAAATAAACATTTAAGGGGTTACAAATCAGTACATGTCCTACTCAAGTTTAATTGGAAGCCTTAAAGGGATATAGCTACCCAAAAGTGTGAATTCTGTCATCATTTACTCACATGAATGCAGTTTGAAACCTGGGTGACTTGATGACTTGAGATTCATGGAGCATAAAAGGAGATATTTAACTGAATGTTCAAGCTGCTCACTTCCATTCAGTGCTAGCAGACAGCATTGAATAGACCAGATAAAGCACTGTAAATGTATCCTAAAAGTAAGCCATATGACAATTATTTGAGAACTATGTCAGAAAAGAGAAAAAGTAAATAATTATTCTAATTTTGTACATTTCTTCATAAAAAGCCATCATATAACTACTTTCATTGGCCTTTTTTGGTGCTTTTTTATCCTTTTTGAGGTCTGAATGCCCCATGTCATTGTATTCTTCCAATGTATGGAGAAAAAACAAAAAAAAACAAAGGTATTATCATTTATCATCATATTTTTGATTCTACATTTCATTGTAATCTGTAAAATCAACATACAGAGTCTTTACACTGCAAAATCTAATTTAATGCATAAGACCTTTCCCACTCTAATTGTCAGTAATGATTGAGCCCAAAAAAATATAACAATTACAGCATGTACTGAGACAGAGACAACACCCAAGCCAAATGTGCAAACTTTGTGAAGGGAATTCTACACAGCAGCACAAGATGCAGGGAGTGATTTACAGCAAAATAGGCAGAATAGGACAGAAATAAGGGGGTCACTGAGTGAAAAACAGTGCAAGTGGTTGGAAAAAAACCACAGAAACAAATACAGGGGATTCTGAGGGGGTGCAAAATGACAAGGCACAGGCCACAACACGCACACATAAAAACCACATTATTATGCAAGTATATGTTTGCAAACACGCATGCTACAGGAACACCTGTCTCACTGCCACCACAGTAAGGTTAGGCTGTACCCTCACTGTACAGCAAAACAAAAAAAAGTAGTCACTGAGAAAACAAACAAACAAAAAATTATTGAAACTGCCATTTTTATAAATAAAAAAATATATTACATAAACATTACATATGCAAGATGTGCTTAATGAAGTAAGGTGTGAGCCGAAGAGGAAAAAAGCAGACAAAATTCAACCACAAAAAGAAAGAGGCAAAACTTTCAGTTTTAGTAATCCCATACTATAAATCATCCCCTCGTGCTCTCCCAAGCACACACTTGCCTTGTAAATTCCAATTACATTTCTGAGAGTTTTTTAAGAAATTTAAATTGAGGTTGCGGAATTGCAAATTGAATTTGAATTTAAAGAAGAAAAATGAACTGTAATTCAAAGACCAAGTTCAAATGCTTGAAATAGAGTTATTTTATGTCCGGCATTTTAATTTAAATCCCAGTTCAACTTCCTGTGGGTTGTGCTAATTTAATTCAAAATTCATTTCAAAGGTGATTAAAAATGGTGACCATATACATATAAATTCTAAGCAGAAAAAAATATATATAGTTATAGGCACACATCAACTGCCCTATAAAGAATTTAAGGCAGCACCTAGAAAATCCTCACTCAATACTCTAACCTTCCTCTCTTTGGAAGGAAAAAACAATGACTGGCAATTTTACAAACACTGTCTAGAGTCTAGAAGTCAAATGCAGTCATATGTGTGTGTGTGTGTGTGTGAGAGTTTTCTGAGGGGCTATTGTGTGCACTCTTGTTTTCCACCTTTGACACAAAGCCAACATTAAATATTTTTTTCCCTGTGTTTTCTTGTGAAATGTGATTATAACACTATCCCAGTTTTGTTTAAAAAAAAAAAAAAAAAAAAAGCAAAGCAAAGGAGTGTGTACACATGCGTGCCTGGCTTACATCTGAGTGAATTCAAGTTAAATATGCATACAAAAGAAGTAAGATCCTGTCTCCTGATGAGCTTTGTGTGTCTCAGAATACCCCACATGCCTGTGTGTGTGCTGGCATGCTCTGGTCACTATTGTTCCACACCACTTAAGATAATGTACAGTGCCCTGAGGGGTATTTGACTGTAAACTGGGCCAGAGACGTCATAACAAATTCAAAAGAGCATGCAAATGAATGAATGAATGAATGAATGAAGTTAAAGTGTTACATGCTATTACTTTTAATAAATGTTGGTTTTAATTACAAAAAAAGATAAATAATAGGACAATTTATGAGGGTGTGAAAACACAGACACTAAAACCACTTAAGTGGTTTTGAAAGTAGGCCAGTTCATTGAACAAGGGGTTCTTTAGAATCCCACTGAAGACAAAAGTAAATGTCACTGTGTGTGTCTACAGTGTATCTATGTATCTATATATATAATCTAATCTAATCTAATCTAATCTAATATAATATATACAAATCAATGCAGGGTAACAGTATAAACCCTGAATGCACAAACACTAACAGTGCAACGCAAACTCAAGTCTGGTTAATTGTGAGGGAATGGAGAAAAACATTGTGAAATGCAACATTTTGATTAACTGCTGAAAGATCATACAATAGAAGGAAGTGCTAATGACAAACAAGCGAACACTTGTACAATGCAGTCTCTGTACAGTCTGTGGGAAAGCTAAAAGATTAGCAACAAGTGCAGCACAACACTGTAACATCAAAAACAGTGAATGACTAAACTAAACTAAACTATCAATATACTATACAACATTCAAATTGATCACTGAACTGTAATCTGCATTATAAGTGTCAAATGGTTCGGTCTGGAGTCTCGATTGCAACAAGTAGCTTATGTTGTTTAGCGCATGCATCTCAGGACAGTATAAAACATGCAGCGACTTGCAGCAGGATTCCTCAGAAATGCAGTAACTGCCTAAAACTCCAGTCTGGAGATGACAGCAGAACAGTGCTGGGAGAGATTCTTTGAAACTGCAGTTTGTCAAGTTGCAAGATATGTGTAAGTTAGAGCTACATTTTAATAGTAGTTAGTTACAATACAAGCTACTAACAAAAGGTAGCCTACCAAACAACAAAGCTGTTAATAGGCAATATCTTTTATAATTATCATATCAAAATTTAATCATAGCTTTTAATCACACATTATTATGAATGAATGAATGAATGGATATCTATGAGAGTAATAGCATCAAACTTGAACAGATACAGTTATACAGCTAAAACTAGAAAACATACCAATATAATGGATTAAAAACAAATCAGGTAAATATTTCACTATAAGATAAAGGCATACTGTATTTTTGTAATGACATGAATCCATCAATATTTTACTCTTATTATTTTATAAGAATATTAATTCATATAATATTATATTTATTGTATGTTGTTTTGGGGGAAAACTACTGTCACAGTACTGAAAAATGTAGTTAAGTTAGCAGCATGGCTAGTTAGTTACTTCCAAACACCACTGCTGAAGCCCGATGCTTAAAGTTCAATCTAAAACAAAAAGTAACCTCTATACAAATATTTGGGTTTACCAGATGTTTTCTTTCCAAACTTGGCTAACAAAATGTTTCCTTGAAAATGTTTTTCTTTTAGTTATGCAAACATCATGTCACACGCAAGATTAAAACGGGTCTGGAACATCAAGTTAAGCTTTAAATTAAATCTGCGTTTATCAAAGTGTCCCTCAGACATGCAAACCATGCAAAACTCATCCACAGAGCTTCAGGAGGTCTGCTAGGTTCAACCTGAATCAGGCCAACGGAGGCAAAGGTGGCTAAGACCAAGATAGACAACTTTCCCTGTAGTTTACATATTAAATGGCTTACGAAGGAATGTTATCATTAAGCGTTGCTTTCCAAGCAGATAATGCACTGGGACAGTGCAGGAAGCTCTTAAGAACCTCTAGTTATACATTAAAGGCCAACACCATCATCTCTGCCAAACCTGTCTGAAGCAGACCCTCGACTAAATGTCTGTGTAGTGAGCCGAAGGCAACAAAACGTGAAGTGTGCCGCTGTTGCAGTGGGATTTCATCATTTCCTCCGCTTCACTCGGGGGTGCAGGAAACATGCTGACTGACTCAGTCAGAGGCGGGCATCATGGGAAGAGCCATAGGATGGGCAGCTCAAGCTAAAGAGCAATATAGGTTAAAACATCTCACTGGAGATACAAGGCTGAGTCTATACAGTAGATGTGTGAATTGAATTAGTAAAATGTCCCAGTGTGAGATGCTTGGCATTTCTGGCCCTGTGATGGAGATCTGATTAATGATGGCAAGCTGAGTACTGTTTCAAGTACTTTTTTCTTAGCAATTTCTGTGTGGCTGCTTACTGGTCTCAGCTGAAATCCCCTCGTGGGATTTAAACATTGAACA